TATCTTATTGCTTTGACTAAACTCTAGGATAATACAGATGAACAGCAATGGCAGTAGGCATACTCTGGCCTCTTTCTAGACTTTAAAGCACAGTTCGGTTCAACGTTTGTCACTGTTGTCTGGGATATAGTTCTTCAGATATTCCTCAGTAAGAAGTTTCCTTCTAATCTGAACTGGCTTTGTTTTACTGTTCTTTCTGGAAAGACTGAAAATTTCAGGGTTTTTTTTTCATTAATCTGTAAGTATAGAGCACTAACAGATTTTCCAAAACTCTCCCGTTATAGATAGAATAAAATCTAGTCTGCCATAGTGTATTATGCTGTAAGATATTACTGGATTTGATTTGTAAATATTTACTAAGGATTCTTATGTAAGAATAATGTTATAATTATTTTTATGCTAAAAATTTTATAAATTTGATTTATGTTTTAAAGATTTATTTATTTTAGAGAGAGAGAGAGAGAGAGAGAGTTCACATGGAGGGGAGGGGCAGGGAGAGTCTCAAGCAGAATCCCTACCGAGTGCAGAGCCCCACAGGGCTCCATCTCACAACCCTGAGATCATGACCTGAGCTGAAACTGAATCAGATGCTTAACCAAATGTAACACCCAGGCGCCCCTACAATCTTATTTTTTATGAATTTCACATAGCTTAGGTTAAATTATTAATACAATAAATGGCAAGGAAAGATGAAGAGAGTAATTCATCTACACACTACAGGAAGAGGAGAACAAAGTTAGGACGATGTCTACTAATATTATACTTGCTATAATTATCAAAGCAAAGACAAACTTATGATAAAAGTCTGCATGACAACTTTAATAAATTTGTTTAAAAATCTCTAAGATTTTGTATTACATTTTTTTATAGTAAGAGTTTATTTAGGTTAATTGAGGGGAATACTCTTGTTTGCTGTATTACCTGTAAAGAGCTGAGAGAATAAAAATCAAGACAGGGGCATATAGGTGGCCAAGTCGATTAGGCACCCGACTCTTGATCTTGGCTCAGGTCGTGATGTCAGGATTGTGGGATCGAACCCCATGTCAGGCTCTGCACTGGACGCAGAGCCTGCTTGGCATTCTCTCTCCCTCTCCATCTGCCCCTCCTCCGTGCATACATGCACTCGTGCTCCCTCTCTTAAAAAAAAAGAAAAATCGGGGCACCTGGGTGGCTCAGTGGGTTAAGCCTCTGCCTTTGGCTCAAGTCATGATCTCAGGGTCCTGGGATCAAGCCCCACATCGGGCTCTCTGCTCAGCGGGAAGACTGCTCCCCGCCGCCCCTGCTGCCTGCCTCTCTGCCTACTTGTGGTCTCTCTCTGTGTCAAATAAATAAATAAAATCTTAAAAAAAAATCAAGATTCAAATTTTTAAAAACTTAATATATTTAAAAAATTAAGTCAGTTATATTTACTTCCTTGACAAATGCCTTAAAGACTTTTCAAATGCTTTCACAGCTATCGTGCCCAAAAAAGTTACGGCATTCTTTGCCTGACTTTCCTACCAATGTAGAGGTCTTTTCAAAATCCAGGCACACCCATGTTGTTGAGCATATAAAATATGCTCTGTCACAGGAAAATAAAACACAATAACCACTCACCGAATCTCTTTCCTGGGGAAAGAGATGTGCTCAAGACGACACAGCAGGTCAGTGGCAACTGCAGAACTGGAATTCAAACACCGTGACCTTCAGTCAGTCCTTTCTGTCTTACATTACCTTCACTGAGGTGGCAAAGGACTTTGGATGGCACCATCTCCCCTCACCTGCTTCTTCACGAAGACTGATGAGTTCCAACAGAAACAACATCTTTTCACAGCTGCTTACTGTGAAAACCCTCTCAAATTCATTCAGCTCCCTTTGTCTCAAAGAACACAGAGTTCCAGCATCTTCCTCATTTACCCTCATGACAGCCTCCCCATAGAGCAGGTCTATACAATCTGCAGGTGTGGAAAGGGAGGCAGGAAAAAGTCTTACAATCTACAACCAATCTTCCAGTCCGGCTCTCTTCCTTAAACCATGTCTGCACCTCTTTCTACAGTCTTTAATTTATGCTGTGCCTTCCATTTTACTTAATTTGTGGAAAATGGGGAATAACTGTCCTTATTTGATAGGACTATTGAGGATTTCAATGAGTTAACACATATAAAAATATTAAGAACAGTGCCTAGCACATCATAAATATTAGCTATTATTTCTGCTCAAAACGGTCAATGTGTACAAGGAGTTTCCTGAATGCTTCTTCCACAGGGATGTGTTATAACTCCAAAGAAAACGAGGTCCAAAATGTGTTTAATTTGTCTATCAAATCTGCTCCCTCTGGCTTCCTCAGCCCCATTGTCAGGTCACAAATCCGACAGACTCCTCAACCTTTCCTGCCTGATACCTAAGTCACTGCTGCATCTGATCACTTCCAGATACATCTGTTCTTCCGTTCTGTGAGCAGTCCCCAATTATGTTGAGGTCATTAACAGCCTCCTCATTATTTCAACAGCCACTAAAACTAATCTTGCTTTTCTTTTCCTCTCTTCAATCCATTCTTCACAGAGCTGCCAGAGGGATCTTCCTAAAAGACAATTCTTATCATATTCCCTTAAAACAAATTAGCAACAAAGCCCTGGAAGGATTCAGGCTTAACAACAGAACAAAGCCTAAACTTTTTACGGGGTATTTAAAGCCTCTGGATCCAGCCTTCTCACCCAAGATGCTTCCAAAAAGGGACTTGTTGCTGTCTCAGAACACTGAACTCATGGTCCCCAGAACTCATCAGTGGAGCCCTGCATTTTCCCATCTCCTTACCTTCGCTCAGATCTAACCCTTGCTTAAAGCCCATTTCTCCATCTCGGCCTATAAATGCTATTCTTCAAATACCATTTAGCCAAGTCTCACATTATGCCTGAGAAGTGCTTTCTCTCTTTCCTTTACAGCCTCAGAGAAGTATAGAGCTGGAATCATTTCATCTTACAAATAAAATAATTATGTCTGCAAATACTCCAAGTGACTAATCAAGGTAACCGAGCAGTTAGGCCTGGAATTTAGATCCGACTTTAAATCCTGCTCTCTTCTCTTAAACTACGTCTGCTCCTCTTCCATAGCATTTAATCACTTTGTCTTGTATTGTAGTTATTTATGTAATTATCTGTATTTCAATTCAACTGTATAAACACTAACGGCAAATTTATTCCAGATACAGAATATTTGCAGAAGTAGAACCTCGGGTGTTTGCTGAAACAAATTAAAGTTCCCATGAAAAATCCAGCAGTCTCAGGCTAACCCAGCTTCACTGTGGGACAAGAAATCAAAGACTGAATACTGGAGGCCACCACTTAATAAATGTCACTTTACTTTAAAGTCCCTGAGCAGAGCAAAAAGCCCTTCATCTGCGAAAAACAATAGCTGCCATTCTCACAGGCACGTAGGATTAAGTGAAGTCATGAAAGTAAAACCCTTAACTTCCGGGATATAACTTCTGGCACATAACTTTTAGTGTTACCCTCCTTCTCCTTTTATGCAGCCTAGCCTTTCTACTATCCAGGCCTGCCATGACACTCTTCTGCCTTAAAACCTTCCACCACCTCACTTATAAAATAAGTCTGGCCTTGCAGAAGCTGCTTCCCAGTCCTACCAGTCTGACGTACCTATCTCCAGGCTTAGCAACAACTGAGCTTCCCACAACCCTAGAATCACATCAAAGAGCACTTGTCTCCCAGACACAAAACATCCTGCTAAGCCTTCTCACTCCCTTCAGCTTTTGCCTGTAATACAAGAGTTTAAAAGCGTGGGTGTTAAACTCAGACCTGGATTCACAGTCCAGCTCCGCCACTTACTAAACTATATGACCTTGGGCGAATGACCTCTACTCCCAAGGCCTGTTTTCTCACCTTTCACACGAAGAGACCAAAAATACCCTAGATCATAGTGCTGCTGGCAGAGTGTGATTAATGGATGTAAAGTAATTAACTAGCATCCGGCCTGACATCTAGACAAGGTGTGGCTGTACTGCCAATAATTTGGATATACTGTCTCATCTTCACCTCATAGCACAAATTTCACTGTACTGGAACTGCCTCTTTATGTCTGTCTCCCCGTCAGATTACAAGCTCCATGAGGGCAGGGACCATACCTCTTATTCTCCGGTGCGTATGTATACGGCAATTATTCAATGATATCCTCCTAAATAAATGAGCGCCTTAAGTGTCCTATAACCAAACACCCTCCCAGGGCTGTTAGCAACTCCACTCTCCAGTATCATCTCCTCTTGCTGCTTCCTTTTCCTAGTTCCACTCCAACACGGTAAGGATGAGGCCACCTGCAAGCGACTGTCTCTCTCGCTCGGCTACGAGCACCCGGGGATGCATATTCCCTTCGCGGAAAGGGTTAAGTATTACGTGCCATTAAAGTAAGTAAAGTGGCCCTGGCTGGTGCTTAAGAAAAAGTACCACTATTATTCACGTAAATGACAAGCAGATCGTTGGGGGTCAGGGTGGGCTTGGAGAGGAAAGCGCTACAGAGCCACTGCATGATGGGCTTGGGGTGAGGCGATTCCCGGAGGTGAGGAGGGGGCGTCCGGGAAGCGACCTGTGTTTGTGTTGGGGGGGCACTGCGTGGGGGAAGCCGGGGCCCACAGTCTAGTGAGACGAAGCAGGGCTGGGCCCAGGCCCGAAAAGCTGCAGCCCTATGCCCCGCTTGCCTGGCTTCCGAACGAGCCTCACCTCCTGCACTTTCAGATCCTCCAGAGTAGGCAGCTCCACTATCCCCGGCATGATGGCGGCAGCCCCAAACCCGAGGAGGCGCCCGCAGCCGCGTCGCCCCGGTCTCCTTGAATTCCCCTTTCGACCGCGAAGGGCCGCCTCACGCCTGCGCCTGCGCCTGCGCAGCCGGCCACGCAAGCGCACTGCTCTGCCCAACCGCGAGCCACAGAGCGTGCGCAGTGTCTGGAAGGTCGGGAGGCGCTGGGGGGCGGGGCTTTGCTTAGGCCCCGCCCATCTTGGTTGTCATAGTGAGACGGGACGCACTGAGACTCCGGGATCCCAAGGGCTGGAGGCTAGAGGCTGGAGCCATGGAGTACACAGGAAGCCAATATATTGGGGAATATGTAGACGGGAGGTAAGAGCCTCATCTGATTCACTGTGTCTTGAGTATTTGTGATTGGGAAAAGACGGCTGCCTTTTCGCATTTGCCAAGGGCTTTGTACCAGACACTTTCACAAACTTTATTCCTTTTAACCTTCAGGACAACTCTTCACGTAGGCTTGTTTATTCCCACTTTACAGTTCAGGAAAATGAGACCCAGTGAAGAAGAGTGTCTTGCTCAAGGACACATATCTAATAAGCAGCAGAGCTGAGGTATATTCATTCCATATATACTTGTATGTTTGCTATCTGCCAGTTTTAGATATGGGGATAAAAATATAAAAAATGTCAAGCAAGATCCTTACTGTCGTGGAAGTTACAGTCTAGTTGGTGTATTGCCAATAAACAAAGAAATGAAAAAGATAATTTTAGTTAGTGGCTTTGCCGGAATCTTCCCCTCCTCACAGCAACCCCATGAGATGGGTATTATCCTCATTTTGCAGGTGGGAAAAGTGAGGCTCAGAGTAACTGTGTAACTTACTCAAAGTACTAGTTGGTGTTGGGCAGGTCAGGGATCAAAACCCAGGTCTGACTCGAAAGCTCATGTGTTTTCTTCTATGGAGCCCTGCTACTGAGCTCCTACAGAGAACACATCCAGTTGGTGCAGTCCTTGAAGGCTTTCTGGAGGAGAAAATATTTGAGATGGGCCCTGAAGGTTGGGTGGGATTTAGGTGGGTAGAGATGCAAGGTGAAGAATGCTTCCAGGCAGAGGGAACAGCATGGGCAATAGTTCAGAGGATTTACAAGTGGAAGAGCAGGCAGTTCAGTGTGACTGGAGTGTTGGAAGTATCTAGAGGAGAGTGAGAGCCAGAGCTGGAAGGGTGGGTCTATGTTCTGGCATAGAGAGATCTGAGTACTGTGCATAATTTTACGGGTGGGGGGAGCCACTGATAGATAGATTCTTGGTAGGGCTGGGCATTAGGAAATCTAATTTGTTTCATTTCTGTATCCCTCTTCATAGTGCATACACTATGTACTCAGTGAATGTTGGCTGAATGAATGAATGAATGAATGAATGAAATTTGAGATATGATAAGTGTATCCTCACTATGGATTGGAGTCTTTATATCTTTGTTCTTTTAAACTACTTTTAATTTATAATGAAGGCTTTTGCCTTGAGCAAATAAAAGAAAAATGGATGGAAAGACTAGAGAGAGGAAGAGAAGGGAAAGAAGGAGAGAGGGAAGCAGAGTAGAGATGGGGAGATCAAGTCAGAGCCCATGGTTGTCCTAGTAAAAGGCAGCAGGACCCTGGACCAAAGCAGAAGCAGGGGGGCTGCAGGAAAGAAAGATGTAGAAGTTTGGGGATTTTCATTTCCAGGACTTGGCAACTAATTGACAGGTTCCCAGTCCCACTCAGAGACTGCCTCTAGTCCCAGCTCAGTGCCTAGCTCTAGGCTTTGAACCTGGATGATTCTGATACCATTTGTGGGAACTGAGAACTCTGAGGAGGGTCCACTTTGGAGGAAAAGAGGATGAATTTCATTTGGGGTGAGCTGGAGACGTCTGTAGAAGCTTTGAGCACTGATATCCAGTTTGCAGTTTAAAAAAAGGGAGCGGCATCTAATCTCTGAGAAGGGTTTTGTTGGAGACAGAAATGGTAGATGTGATTTCAAGTAAACACATAAAGGAGAAAAGGCATTCTCTTACCTCTCATGTCTTGCAGGAGAATAAACACAACAGTGAACACAATAGAACTCTTACTCTATTTGAGGCATTCTGCTATTTTTTCATAGCTATTATTTCATCTAATTATCTCAATTAAGAAGAGGAGTGTTGTCATTATCCCCATTTTACAGATGAGAAACTCAGGTTCAGAGAGGCAAAGGAACTGGGCCAAGGTCACACAGGCACGGAGGTGGCCTGTGCTCAGGTTTGGTGGCTGTAGGTCTGCATTGCTCAGAACTTGTTCCACAATGTCTGACCACAAGGCTCTTCTGCTCCGGGCCTGTGCCCCAGTGGCATCTTCCTTCATCCCCCCGGTCAGTTCCCTTCACTCCTTATGCAGTAGCTGTTTACAGGACACCTGTTTACACAGAATCATGATTCTAAGAACTGAGGATACCAAGGTCTTCCTCTCCAGACCTTTAATTAAATAGGGAATATGAGAAATACAATTCCAATGCACGGCAGAAAGTGCTAAGCATCCAACAGACGTACAAACAAAAGCCTAAAGAAGTTCAGAGTTAGAGGAGATGACTTCTAGCCAGCAGGGGAAGAACAGGGAAGGAATACAGGAATGAAGAAATGGAGGAAAGGATACTTCTTCAGCACTTACCAGATGTCGGGCCCTTTACTAGGAAAATCATTATACATTATTTGGGTTGATCTTGGGCATTAATCTCAGCCACTTCACACATGAAGTAAGTGGTCAGCTGGTCAAGCTGGGTTTCCTTGGCCTGGGCTCCTATAGAGGCCTGCTTCCCCCTGCATGGCAATTCCCACATATTCTGCAATTGCTTAATTGTGTCCCCCACTAGACCGTGAATCCCATTGATGGCAGGGATGGCATGTGCCTTGATCACTGCTGTGACCTTGTTGTACCCAGCAGACCAGACTCAGCATGTGTGGTAGGTGTTGATATGTAGTAGATGCTCTGTAAAGATTTGTTGGAAAAAAGGAAGGAGGGAAGGAAGAAGGAAGGAAGGAAAAAAAAATAGGTTTAAGGAAGTCTCCAAGGCCATACATCTAGGAAATGGTGAAGTACGATTCAAACCTATGTCCCCTGTCTGAATTTCATCCTTTTCCCATTACCTACAAGTGGTGTAAAGGGCAGGGGTGGGCTGGTCATGGGGGACAGGGAGGACACAAAACCAGCTGCCAGGAAAACTGGCCCGAGTCTCTGCTTCCCAGTGTTTACTGTGTGGCTTTGGGCACATCCGTCCCCTCTCTGGGCCTACCAAGGGCTGTGTTATGGGATGTGAGAGCCCCAGGACAGCCTCTAGGTGAGGGCGAAGACAAACCAACAAAACTCTGTGCCCCATCCCCACCATCAACAACACAGACCCTCTCATTTTTGAGTTTTTGAGAGAAACAAAAACGTTGTTTTCTAAGAGAATATTACTGGGCCAGTAACCCCTGAGGGCCCCGAGAATGAGGTTCCCACTTGCTCTCCTGTTGCCTGCCTGCTCTGACCCTCCGGCTCTGCACAGTCCGCTGATTTCCCTTTGTCCTTGCAGGATGGAGGGCGACGCTGAGTACATCCTCCCTACTGAAACGAAGTATGTCGGGGAAATGAAGGACGGCATGTTTCATGGCCAAGGAACCCTGTACTTCCCCAGCGGGAGCCGCTATGATGCCATTTGGGAAAAGGGACTGGTCGTGAAGGTGATTAGCCTGAGGAGGGGAGGCTGCAGAGGGCAAAGCCTTGGACGGGAAGAGCCCCCACTACAGAGCACCCTGATCTGTCCATCTGGCGCCCTCCTCTTTCCATTCCCTCTGCTCCCCTCCACCCGATCTCCCAGAGCTCTGGAATCCACTCCTCTGGATCCGGAAGGGCCCCTGGAGAGGCCACGATGAGTTTGAAGCCTAGTGTATCACTAACTAACTGAGTGACCTTGGGCCCATGACTTCCCCTATAAACTGGGGACAATAGTTGTATCTCATATTGCTGCTGTAACAAATTACTATAAACTCGGTGACTTCAAACAATAGAAATTTATTACCTTACAGTTCTGGAAGTCAGAAGTCTAAAATAAGTCAGCCATGCTGCATTCCTTCCAGAAGCTGTAGGGAAGATCCATTTCCTTACCTTTGCCATCTTCCAGAAGTTTCCTGCATTCCTTGGCTGGTGGCCATGCCTCGATCTAACCTCTGCTTCTATCATCACATCCCCTTCTCTCTGCTTTTGTCATCATCTTGTCCTTCATCCCTCTGACCCCCTTGCTTCCCTCTTACATGGACCCTTGTGATTATATTGGGCCCACCCAGGTAATTCAGGAAAATCTCCCCATTTCAAGATCTGTCAGTTAATCACATCCGCAAAGGACCTTTTGCCGGATGAGGTTAACATTTTTACGGGCTCCAGCAAGTAGAGGTGGATATCTTAGGGGGACCGTTATTCCACCTGCCCCAACACCGGCCACCACCTGGGGCAGTTGTGAGTGTAAATGAGGTGATCTCTCTAAGCACTGTGCTCAGTGCTTAGTACCCAGTGCTCAGTACCCAGCATCCAGCAGGCACTTAGTGTTAGGTCTTAGTAATACTTCCACAACCACTGCTGCTCTCATGACAAGTCCTCTAACCCATCTAATCCCACCTGGGACTTGTGGGCCATGCATACAATTCAGGGGGTCAGTGGAAACTACCCCCCCCCCGGCTTTATATGCCAAAATTTCTGTGTATCTGTGGTTTTCTCTGGGGAAAGACCTACGGCTGTCATCCGTTTCACTAATGCCCACCTTTGAAATGTTAAGGAACATTCCTTGTTTTACCACTTGGAGAGTCTGAGCCCCAGGAAGGGGATGTGACTTACCCAAGGTCACACAGTGAATTAATAGTATCGGAATTTCCACCTACGCTTCCTGATGCCCAAGCCAATGCGACCTCTACATCCTGGGGATTCCTTCAGCCCTGGGGCAGCAGGGGCAGAATGTACATGTTTGGACAAAGGGCTGTGACCAGTGTCTGTGACTGTTTTAGCTAGCTCTGTGCTAAACGCTTTGCCAGTGCACTGCCTCATCAAATCAACCCCGTAAAATATATACCATTAGGAGGCAGTTTTACAAACGAGGAAACCAAGGACTGGGTCATCTGCCCCGCATCGTGCAGAGAGTGGCCGCAGAGCCCAGCACTATAGCCGTTCCTTCTAATCATCACAGCCCCAGTAGCTGGGTTAGCTCTCACGGCTCCTCTGTGGCGACGAGAAGGTGAGAAAGCCAACTCTTGCCATGACACCCGTCCTCCTTGGCAGAAGGGCTTCCTCACCCCTGCGCGCATGCTCCATGTCTTCCAGGGCACATACACCTTCTCGGACGGGCTGCAGTACGAGGCAGAGCACTGGCATTACTGCGACAGCTGCGATCGCAGGTTTTACACCGAGATCTGCCATGGCTTGAAGCCTGCAGGTACCCGGGCACCCTCCCTTTCCTTCACACCCAGACCGGGAGGGAAACAAAAGGCAGCCTCATGTAAGGGGCCATGGCCCCTTGAAGTCCCCCTCAGATGTCCGCCGTCCCAGCTCCGTGCCTCGGTTTCTCTCCTGCAAAAGGGGTTCCGTAGCATCATCCAGCTGACAAGTCTGTTGTTAGTAAGCTCATGCAGGCAAAGTGTTTCCAGCAAGGTCTGGCATGCAGGAGGTGCACGGCCCATCTCGGCTGTCATTGTCACTAGCACCTGCTGTTGCATGGAAACTAAGCAGCACCGAAGGAGCGGGTGCCCAGTGTACCAGGCTCCGGCCGAGGCTCTGTGTGCTGCCGGTCTCACAGAATCTCCAGACAACCCCACCATGCCCGCCTTTCTGGTCCCATGTGGCAGAGGAGGAAACTGAGGCTCCAGACTCCAGATCTGCTTCCTGGGGGTAGAGCTCCCCAGGGGGCCCAGGTCTTCCTCTCTGTTTCCCCTGTATCAACAGAAACCATGTTCCATCGTGGAGGGTGACATGCGGGCCCAGACTCTGGATTCGGAGAGCAGCCACAGAAGGGGCTCACGTGTTTCCAGCTTGTGTGCGGTCAGCTACACCCCAGGGGCATAGTGGTTGGCCCAGCCGAGACGATACATCCAAAATGACAGATGGGAAAATGACTGTGCAAACCATAAACATAAATCCTAACTTATGACATGATGTGGTGGAGTTGACCAAGCCTGGAGCTAGAAGGTCTGGGTTTGAGTCCTCAGTTCCCTCTCAGTAGCAGGATGAGCCTGGGCAAGTCAGCCTCCATGAGGGCAGAAGGCTCCAGAAGGCATCCAGGATGGAGTCAGGCAGTCCTGAGCTCAAACACTGGTTGTGTCACTTTGAATCAGATAGTTGACCCGGTGAACCTTCTCTCCCTTTGTCTCCTTTGTCAGCTCCTCATCCCCCTAGTTTTTAATTTGGGGGTTCCCAGAGCTCTCTGGCCTCAAGCCCTCTTCTGTAACATTCTGTCCCCTCTCCCTAAACAAGCTGATTCACCTCTAAGAGTTCATTTATACCATCAGCTTCCAAATGGAGATCAAAATTCCTGAGCCCCAGGTTCCTGTAGCCAGCTTCCCAAACACCCCAATTTGGCACCCCTTACCTTGTCTGCACGGAACTCATTCCCTTCAACCCCCAGGGATTGCATCCTCGGAGACTGTCACCCCCAGAGACTGTCACCCCATCCACCTGGATGGGCCGAGTCCTGTCTTCTTCTTTCCCTGTGCACAAGCAACCATCTGTCTGGTCCTGTGGATTCTTTTTTTTTTTTTTTTTAAAGATTTTATTTATTTATTTGACAGACAGAGATCACAAGTAGGCAGAGAGGAAGGCAGAGAGAGGGAAACAGACTCCCCGCCAAGCAGAGAGCCCGATGCGGAGCTCGATCCCAGGACCCTGAGATCATGACCCGAGCTGAAGGCAGAGGCTTAACCCACTGAGCCACCCAGGCACCCCTGGTCCTGTGGATTCTACGTCTTAAATATATTCCTTCATGCATTCATTGAATAATTGTTGACTGAGGCCCCCTATGTGCCATACCAGGCTTCCTTCACCCTCTCTGGTGCTGCTGTGTCCCAGACCTCCATCCTCTCCCCTGTGTTACCTAGTCTCCTGAGATCTAGGTTTGACTCGCTCCAGGCCATTCTGCACGTGGGCACTCTCATCTTTGCAGAACATGACTCTGATTGCCACTCTCCTTCACCCCCACCCCTGTTACCTACCCTTCAGTGCCTCTCCGCTCGTCTCATGAGAAGGTTCCAGATTTTTAAAATGACTTTCATTCTCTGGCTCCTGTGGCTGAGCCTACCCTCAGCCCACACCACCTGCCCTTCTGGGATTTTCTCTCCTCCCTCGCTGTGCTGGCTCTATCTCTAGACCTTGAAAAGACCACGCTCTTTCCTGCTCTTCCCTCTGCTGGGATGCTCTACCTGCCCATTTCACCCAAATAAACTCCTTCCCAGCCTGCAGGTCTCAGCATCATGTCCCTTTGTCTGGGGCCCCTTCCCTGAATTCCCAGATGAGGCAAGGTCTCCCTGTGGCATCCCGTGGAGCGGCCAGGGCTCGTCCACAGAACTCTGTCCTGAGTGCACAGCATCCCTCTTCCCACGCCAACTGCGCTCCATGAGGGCGGGGGCTCTGTCTTCGTCACTGCTGTGTCCCCAGTGCCTGGCACATTGCTTGGCACCGAGTCGGTGCTCAGTAAACAACGACACAGGATGGATAATACTGACATCACAGCAGGGGAGGTGAGGTGTGGGCGTTAAGGTCATGACATTGGATTTCCTGAGCACCTACTCTGTGTCAGACACTAGCTGGGCCCGAGGGGGACCGTGTCTGCCTTCAAGGAGCCACCAGTCTAGGTCCCACTTGAGAACCTTGTCTGTGGCCCCTCCTTGGTTAGTTATGACAGGGCCTGGACTCTGTCACGGGCTCCTCACCCCCAACGGAAGCCCATAGGCAAAGAGAGAGCCCCTGGCCTCAGGCCTTCAGCTGTCACGTGGCGGCTGGTTTTGTCAAAAGTGGGGCTCTGCCAGGCTCATGGGCAGCGCGGTGGTCTTCCCTGCATCCTTCCTTCTGCTCTGGTGACTCCCAACGTGGCAACTTCATCCTATGTACCCACTGCCTTCCCAAGGCCCGAGGCACTCGGCAGAGCCCAGCAGCAGCTGCCTCTCAGCCTCAGGGGCAGCGAGAAGCTAAAGCAGCCCCTTCCGCTCCTCTCCATCTCTGAGATGGCACAGGCAGGAGGCTCTGGGGAGAGAATGGCTGGGAAGCGATTGGCATGGAGTGAGAGCTCAGTCACCATATGCACGTGGTGTCAGTAACCAACAGAAGAACACCTGTGTGCAGGACAGGGCCCTGCGCTGTGACCAGGGTGCTATGCTCGGGGCGCATCCGGCTCTCAGTCCAGAGGACAGGGAATTACAGGAAACGCAAGAGCCCGAGAAGTTATTTATTCCAACCTCGTCCCCCTCACTCAGGCCTCGGCATTCCAAGATACACAACACCCAGGGCAGTGTGACCAACTCCTCTCGAGCTCCGGGGGGTTCCAACGTCAGCAGCCTGATGTGCAGGTTTCACGGCTGGGTGCCCTGCCACTTCCTCGCTGGAGAGTCTGGGGCGAGTTACTTGACCTCTCTGAGCCTCAGTTCTCTCATCCACAAATGGGGCCCCAGGGTTGCTGTGATCATTGAAATAGTAGGAGTCAAGCATTTAATGAATTTCTAGGCACAGGATAAACACTTGGTAAACAGCCGCCATTGTAATTTTGGTAAGAGTCAAAGTTGATCCCCGCCCACCTGACCCATTTCTTTCCACTGTTGTCATTCTGCATTCCTCGGCCCCACCATGCTAGGCTTGCTGAGTGAGGCCTGAGGGCTCACGCCTCTGGGCTCACCCCCTTGCACGCCATCCCTCCTCTAGACATGTCTTTCTATCCCCATTGCAAACTGAGATGCTCCCTCATGCTCTGTCTATATCCAGAACCTACACCCCTGTCATGGTGTCCCCAGAAACAGAGGATGGGGGCCAAGGGAAGAAGTTGGGGTTCTAGTCCCTAAGACCCGGCTCCCAGAGCCAGTTTCAGGAAGATGCTGTGGGGCACTGCTCCCATCGCTTGTCCTCCGTGCTCTGAATGGGGAGCATTTTGCCACGGGGACAACCAGGCAGAAGTGGCCTTCTGGGGGGCTGGGTTTTGATTTAGTCTTGGTGACGAGTTAATTATCCATTGCATCCTTTCAAGGTATCTCTCAGCTCACCAATATGGACCCACCTCGAAAAATCCCCGAGGGCTGTTATGACTGTGGAGATGGCTTCTACAACCCGGCCACAAGGATAATCAAGGACTACAGGAATCGCTTTCTGAGAAATGCAGGTATGTCCATTCTGACATGCCGGGATGCCCGTTTTCTCCTCTCTCGCTCACACATATCTGTGTGCATCTGTGTGCGCACACGTGCATGCATTTGATGAGAAAGAAACTTCTGACAAAAGACAAAAATTATGATCTGGATGGTTCACCGTGGGGAGTTCTCATGGCGGACGAGTCTCTGCGGGATCACAGAGTGAAGCCAAGGACTGTTGTGGTTAGCTGTGACAGCGAAGTGTAGCACTGAAAGGCTTAAACTACAGATTTCTGCATGCTCTCCTTTGGTACTTAGTGAGCAGTGACTGTGTGCCTAAACACTATGCTTGCTGTAGGCAGAGAAGAAGGGCAAATCGAGACAACACCCCTTGCTCACGGAGCTTGTATTTTGACAGAGAGCAGACAAGGCTTGGTTGCATCGTGAGAAAAGCATAATGAAAGGGGAAAACATGGCCCTAGATGGGGGTGGGGAGAGAGGTAAAGGTGGGGAGTCCCAGGGAGGTGGGAGTGATGCTGTGGGAGCACAAAGAAAAGGTACCTCATCCAGAATTGGAAAGTCAGAGAGTTTCAAGAAGGAAATGACAGCTAAAATGAGACCCAGAGAATAATTGGGAGTGGACCACAGGGCATGGGGAGAGGTTTTTCAGAGAGGAAACAGCACAGGTGAAGGTCAAGAAAGTGCATGATACCATGTGGTCCAAGAATGCTGGCTGGGGATCCAGAACTTTTGTTGGTAAGGGAATGCAAGCTGATCAGACTGAGACTTACAGTAACCAAACTCACAGGAGGCCAATGTACAAATAAGAACAAGATCGTTTTCGTTTAGCATGGTGATTCCTAACCTTTCTCTTTCCTAGAGTCACGGTCCCACAAGGAATAACATTAGAACTAGGCACCCTCTCCCTAGAAAAATGACCACATGTGCACAGACACAAACATACACGTTCACACTCATGCACACGCATGCACATTTTGCATATAGTCTTAAGGGGTTTCTTCTAAAGACCCAGGTCAAGAAACTGTGCTCTAAAATGAGAAGGAAACTGCCAGGGAGCCCAGGAGGCCTGGACTGGCTGATGAGAGCCTCCTCTCCCTACAGAGCCATTTACTCCGTAAGTCGGTGGGGATCAGAAAGTTGCCTTTGTGGTGCTGGAATCAGAGCAAAGGGGACTGTCAGTTGGTGCTGTGTCTGAACACCAGAGCACAGAGCTCAGAGAGCCCTGACCCACGGGTGCTCCTGAGGAACATGGCCAGTGCTCACACTCCGGGTCCCCTGGCAGTTTTCTTTAATGACTTCCTGTTTCCCATTAACAGAGTAGACTGTGCAGAGCACTAATTCTTCTGGGCGTTCGTAGGCTTACTATGGAGTTTCTGGATAAGGAAACTGAAGAGATGCTGAGTTAAACAATGCTTAACCGTTTCATCTATTGAAGGGCTTCCCAGGGCCATTCACATGCTAATATACCCGGTACTTTTCCTCCCCAGCACTTATGTCAACTGTAATTAAATCTTCATTTGTGTGAGTAATTGCTGAACGTCTGTCTGTCTCTCTCTCCCCTGAGACTGTAAGATCTATGTGAGCAGGAACTCTTGTGTCTGTATCAGGTAGAGTCCAGTCAGGAAAATAGAATTTAATATCAGGAGATCCTGGAGAACTGAAAAAGCAAAAGGAGGGAGAGAAAGCAGAGAAAGTCACTGCAGGGAGAAGCAACCCTCCCCGCCCCCTTTTCCTGGATGGGAAACCCTGAGACTGAGATATTAGAACATAGAGGGTTGAGAGAGGGACCCCCAGAAGGGGTGACCCAGACCTCTGAACAGAGCTTACTGCCCAGTGTGGCTTCTGGGCCTCGCTGATGCTAGGAGCTGGGGGACAACTGGAAGGTGGAAGTGAGTGGGCCTTTTGCTGTCGTGACATCAACATAAGCAACAAGACACACAGAAAAGAACGTGTCCCTTCTTCCTTCACGTGCCTGCCTTGCAGCATTTAACTGGGGCTCAGCCGGCAGAGCAGAAACATGAATCGTGTGGTCCCAGTCCAGACTGCAAAGTGAGAAGAGAAGGGCAGATTTGGAGCCAAGAGTAGCCTCCTCCCTGGCATGGTGCCCCTGTCCTTTTGTTGTTGGTCAGTGTCTGTACACACTCTTCTGTCCTGCAAAGATAACACGTCTGTGCCTTTTTGTGTAATTAGTTACAAGTATCTTTCATATGAGTACAAAGGTGCTCTCACCACACCTCCTAGGGGGCAGTTCCTGGTGGATGAAGGGCCATTGAGCAGGGGAACTCATCATCTGGTCTAGATACAGGGTCTCAGTCAGGAAAAAGGTACCGTCGTAAGTGATGGGTCTTAAAGAAGGAGCAGGGATTTTGTTAGCAGGCATGTTGGGGAAGGGCATTCCAGGTAGAGGGAACAGCACTTCCAAAGACACAGAGGCATGGGGGAGAAAAAAAAAAAAAAGGCAAGGCGTGACTGGGGAATGAGAAACTGTGGCTCCAGAATCCTCTGGGCAAAAGCCATGTTTGGTAAGAAAATTGAAAATTCATGATGGGATGAACAGATAGTGCACAGGGGACTTTTAGAGCAATGAAGATACTCTATATGAAATTACAGTGAGGGCTCCATGATATTATACACTCATCCGGACCCGTCAAATGTACTACACCAGAGTGAACCTGCCTGTAAGCTTCAGATGACTATGAGGTGTTGGTGTCGTTTCAGCAAATGCACACTCCGGTAGAGATGGTTGATAATGGGGAGGCCATGCAGGCATGGGGGCAGGGTGCATAGAGAAAATCTCTGTACCTTCCTCTCAATATTGTTGTGAGCCTAAAACTGCTCTAAAAAAAATAGCCTTTGAAAAATGCATCATGAGATGGGAAGGCCATTCTTTGGAGGTTTGGAGAAGGATGGACACTGAGGACTCTTTGGTTGACAAATGTTTATTGACTAGTGGCTGTGGATCTGACCTTGGGTTAGGAAGCATCACAGAATCTTCTCTCAGGGAGGAGGAGAAAGTGGCGATAGATATAAGTTGCTACAAGGGAGCGTAGCAGGGATATCTAATCTGGAGATCAGGGTCAGCAGGCCAGGGTGGTTTCCTGGAAAGAGCAAGGTGGAATGGGCAGCCCAAAGAGCAGACAGGTGCAGCAGGGTCGGGAAGGGTGAAAGGCAGAGGGAACAGCATGTGCGAAGGATAAGATGGGGGAGAACACTGCACATTTATGGGGCTACAAGTAGTTTGGGAGCATGAGACAACAATATGTCAGGGCAAGAAGAGCAAGAGAGGGAACCCAAGGGATGGTAAGGGGAAGGGCAGCAAGTTTCCACCCGAGGGCAGCAGGGGAGCAAGGAAATGTTTTGGGCAGGTAGAGTAGTAGCTGAGTCATCATCTAGGGATTTCTCAGGCTGCACAGAGAGAAGGGGCCAAAGGAGGTGAGACTAGATAGGAAAGATGGCAAGATGGCAAGAGAGGGCACCCGAAGGGCCCCAGGCCCCAGCGTTTTGTGCCAGAGACCCAGGTTCCATGTCCTGGCCCAGCTCTTGGGCTGCCTACTGGCTGACCCTGGGCCAGCGCCTTCCCTCTCTGGGCCCCTTGCTCTTCATCTGTAAAATGAGGGAGTCGGGCTGGATAATTTCTAGGGTCCTTCCAACCTTAAGAGTCTACGATGGAGGAGAAAGGTAACCAAGGGATATTTTGGTCCTGATATTATAGGACAGTTGGAGTTTGGAGTGTCCTGAAAACCACTAAGAGGAGTCTCTGTTTGTGGCCACCTAGTCATTACCTTTGACTCACCTCACCCTGCCGGGGACCGATTCAGACTTCTGTCCATCTCTTGTTTTCTCTGGGCCCTTTCTCCCCTACATTCTGGTCTGCCCCCATAAACAGTGCTTCCTGTTGGCATCCTGAAGGTGCGGGGCCGCTGGCGATGCAGGCCCACAGTGGGGCCTGAGGCCATCCCAGGATAAACAGAGTGGCCTGAGCCACTGCTATTATCAAGTACATGCCACCTGGCCGGGTCAGAGCCGGGGACACTCTTTTTATAGGAGGTCGCGGGCTGGGACACCCGCAGAAGGGTCGCCCTTGTTCACCTTCAGGCCTCGCAGTCTGCCCCAGGCTCCTCCCCCACCCCGCCCTGACTTCACTCCCCAGACGGAGATGCTTGCTCTCTCTAGGCCAGACTGGAAAACCTTAGCCTGCTGAATTGCAGATGGGCCGAGCTCCAAGCTTGCTTGACAAACCCAGCTTTGCTCGGCTTGGGCTTTAAGAACGGCCTTTCTTACCTGGGGAGGATGGTACCTGCTGGCTGGGTTGTGGTGAGAATTTAAATCTGTCCTTCCACTCATCTAAAAGCTTCTGAGTGCCGACAGTGGGCCAGGCTTTGGGGATCCATGCTGGCAAGAATCCTCGCAGACCGTGGCTCTCAAACCTTCTGGAGGGCAGGGACCGTGTGATGACGTCTGACTCATCACTGGATTCCCTGCGGCTCACACAGGTCCCCAGACATGGAGCTGATTAAATGTTTCTGGAAGAAAAGCAGACAGGCAGGCAGAGGACCCACCTACAAGCCCCTCCTCTTCCTCAACAAAGTATAGTCCCTGACACCTAACAGACAACTTACTATTTCGAATAATAAGAAACAATCTATTGAGCTTCTCCGCACCTGTGGGTTTTCAAAACCCCTTAAGCTTTGAAAAGCTTAAAAACTTCAGCATTAAGGATCCCAAGCCTGTGACCTTCTGGCCAGATCGTGTCTGTGCCATTTTGGTTTGGGGAGCCCTATGCTTGGTCCAGGTCCCCTCTCACCCTGCTGTCTGAACCCCAGTGGTGGCTGTCATTTCTGGTGCCTACCCTAGAACTTTTGTGCTTATGAGCCGTGCATCCCCTGGGAAATTCCTACGCAGCTGGGGGCGGGTGAGGCCTGAGATTAGGGGACTAGGGCGTGCGTAATGAATGACAGATCAGGGAAGGTGAGGCTGGGATCAAACCCACTCCCATCTCCCCGTAAGGTCC